GGAGCTCAAAATCCCAACAGATAGATACATTATCCTACTCCTACACATGAAATTAAAGTATGTGGAGTCATAATTAAATAGGAAAGGCAATTATCAGGCCGAAGGAGTAAAAGGGCTCAGTAAGTTGCAGTAAAATGAAAATTATGCTCTGAAAATGGATAACAGTGCAATGGCTTGGGCTATGTTAACTATAAGCAGAAGTCTCATATTAATAAACCTCAGTGCACACTGCACAATATGTGGTAAGATTGCACACTCGTCAGACAAGTGTGCAATAAATACGGATATCATAAAAATCACAAAGGGAAGACAAAGCAAGAAGGCAATTACATAAGAACTCAAATCAGGTTAGTACATCCATGGAGAACACATTACCGGGATTTACACCTGAACAATTCAAGAAGCTACTTAATCTTCTTGATAATCATCCTATCAATAAACAAGAAGGAGCATATGCACATTGTCGTGCAATCACAAAATTAAAGAAATCTCAACTGCACATTTCAACACTCGTCCATCAGGAACTTGGTATTCTTCATTCAGCTCATAAACTGGTTAATTTTCTTCTCACTAAGTCAACCTGGATCATAGATACAGGTGAAATTGATGAGATAGTATGCTCAAAGGATCACTTTGAGTCCTACTCACCTATATCGGGTTTATTTGTTAGACTCCCTAATGGGTTATCCATTGATGTAACACATATTGGGACAGATCAACATTTAAAATGTTGCTAAGGCTTACCTCTCAAATTCTGGGGAGAATGTGAAATTTTGTTATACATATCATAAATAGATTACCTTCTCATGTGATAAGAATTAAATAAGGTAGCTTATCGCGTACTCTACAATTCATTACTAGATTATAATTCACTTTAGGGTCTTTGAATGTCTATGTTTTGTTTATAATTCCTCTATACACAAGACAAAATGGATGCAAGAGAAAGGAAATGCATCTTTCTTGGCTATTCTACAGGGACAAAAGGATATAATTTTTATGACATTGAAACAAAACAACTTCTCACTTCCAGAGTTGTTATGTTTTATGAAAAAATATTTCATATGGCTGGAAAAGAAGTGGATAGCATAACTAATATCTCACAGGGGCATTATACTTCCCAGAACCTTCTTTAAAGACCTTTATCTCGTAAGGGAGCTAAACACTTCCACAAATCATAGTCATGAGACACCAGAAGCTGAGTCTTACCGAGCAAACACTATTCGAGAAAGTCAATGGTTAAGAAGATCAACAAGGATCAGATTCATTCCCACAAGGCAGAAAGACTAGAGGTTATCCACTCCTCACTCACTATCACCAGTCATGTCATTTCATAAACTATCTCCTACATTCAAAAGATTCATATCCAATATATCAAGTCATAAAGATCCCACATCATACAAAGAGGCAACCCAACATCAATCTTGGAATATATCAAGTCATAAAGATCCCACATCATACACTGCCTCCTAGAAAGACTCCCATTGATTGTAAATGGGTGTTTAAAACCATATATAAACTTGATGGTACCATTGATCTGCTGTTTTAACTTGCTTGATCTTCAGCTAAAGGGCCTCTGAGAAACATGGATTTATCATTAATGGGGTCTAAGTTCAACTTTGATTCAAGGAGTAACCTCAAACTCTTTCAAAAATTAAATGGGTTGAATTTGAAGAATGAGAATATTTTCATCAACTTTAATTTATTTTATCAAGTACAGAGAATACTTCGATAAAGTTTTCTTCTTGTGCTCTTAGTAATGTTCTTGGAACCATTGATCCAGAATTTCTCTTTTAAACTTCTTAGTCCGTCTAGTATTCGAGACCCTTATTCATACCGATAGATCTAGGGCTTCTAAACATGATCATGACTTGACATCTTAGCCATCACCCATTTATCCTCTCATAAAATTTGAAGTTTTAGCTATATCATAAGGTAGTAGTTCTATAAAGGCCACTTTTGGAGAACCATAAAGTTTGGCTTCTATGCAAATCTTCTGCATCATATTGGTCTGATAAATCTTTCCACTACCTTGAGAACTCAATTATGGGTCAAACTTAAATATGTCATGATCAAGCTCACTTCTCTTCTTTATTTAAACCCAGTTTTTTTAATGCAGCATATCTGCAGCATTATCATCACAGCTTCAAAACATTGGGTAGGGTGTTTGGGTCAGATTCTTGTTGGTACAATTTGAGCATACGAATCCATATGGATGCCTAAAAATGTGTGATGTTTAATCAAACATTATTCTAGTATTCAAGTTGTAATATCGAGTTCAATAGTTTGTCGGCCTGGAACGATTGATGCATGAGTAGACGTTATGAGCCCTGGCACAGGCTCAATGATCATAAGTTTCTAATCATGTACCGAGAAAAGTGAAGCTTAATTAAACTGGCTATAAAAGTACTATCATAGTTGAAAACACCTTCAACCCCCTATTAAACGTAAATAAAAGTACTATTAAAGTAAGCCCAGTACTGATACAATATAATGAATCTACAAAACTTAAACAAGAAGAGAAAATAAAAGAAACTAAAGTCGCAATGAGCCATCAGCATCCATCTTTGCAATGCCTCCACCTGATCCCACTGAAGTTGAAGGACCATCCCGGTTAGCTAAACCCTAATTTGATGTAGAAATTGTCACACTCAAATCTCTTCCGCCTCCTAAATCTAAACTTTGACCGAGTATGTAATTGTTTGCATTTGTCCCAATCATGTGACAACCAACTCTAGTAGTTAAAATCCAATGCATGCAGTGTGGCCACCCCGTTTTTTTGTAGCTAGAAGCCGCCCTATCCTCCACAAAACAACTCCAATGTATTTGTTTTTAAAATCCAAATTCTTATAACATTTTCTATGAGACTTCGTCAACAACACCCTCCAGTGTCTTTGTCCCAAGTGGCGGATCCAGAAAATATGATTATTGGGGGCGTAAATATAATTCAAAACTATAAGTTATAAATATATAACTAAAGATATATGTTTGTATCTATCACCACTAAAATCATAGCTTTTTGTTGTGGTCAATGTTTACCTATTTGTTAGGGTTATGAACCGCAACAATTGACAACGCTTGATATTATATTATCACCTAATAATCTACTTATTAAGTAATCAATTATAACTACATTTTAACATTTCATCCACTTAGTTATACTTTTCCACTTTTTGTGATTTTTTAAATTCTTTTACTTCTCTTTACAATTCTATTTATACCTAGAACATAAACACAATTAGATTTTTTTATTGTCTTTCCTAATTTTCAACACTTTTGCTTTGTCTTTTCATTGTTGTATTATTTTTTATCGTACAAATACTTATTTCTTTTTGCAATCCACTTTAAATCACATTTTTAAAAGACAAACAAGAAAATGTGTGTTTTGTTGTTGTTAAGATGATATTTGTAAAATATAATAATGTTTAATAAGTATATGTACTCATATTTTGCAATTGAACACATTATTTTGTTACGAAGATCAATGAATAAAATGTTCGTCTAGCTATAAGTAAAGCTTAACATGATAAGTAACTACCACTTCACTTGTTAAAGTAAGTCCATATCAATTAAATTAGTATGACATAACTAAGATTTTTTCAATTTGACTGTAGTAATTCATCTCTTTCTAAACTATACATATGTTTCATCTCATAATTATTTTTAGTTGGGGGCAAGAAAAGTAATTTAATGGGGGCAAATTACTTTTCACAAAGGAAAAATGTGTATTTATATATACTCTTAATCAATTCTAAAAAACTTATTGGGGGTATGTGCCCCCACTTTTGTGGAGGTATATCTGCCCTGCTTGTGAACTCGACCAACACAAAGAGAAAGAAGCATGCACTGTCACATACGCCAAAAACTAAGCAACCCTATGGAGACCTAGGAGACCTAGGTTTTCTGCTGTCACAACACGTAGAAAGACATTATAACTTGTGTAATGGATGGAAAAGGGAGAAAATGGCACTGTGTATAATGAATGCTCTTGTCTTACGGATGAAGAAAATCAGCATCGATGCACCAACCAGAGAGAAACAATGCTACGGTTTTTAAATGCTTTATATTGAGCAATATCTTGAAAATGAAATGATTTTGTTGTGTAGTTGAAGGACTAAATACATTTTTTCATAGTTATTATAATTCTACTCATCTTTTAGGTACTCTTTGTTTGAAAGTTCTTTAGGGAAAAAATGATTGGTTTATTTTATTTTATTAATTTATCTTCTTTTGGTGTTTGAGCAAAGATATCATGATATGATTAGTTAGGTCATGTTTGTCTCTAAAGTTATTTTTATCTTCATGTTTTTTCCAACTATCTAAATACTTCTCCTTTTCCATCTAGTTATGCTACAATGGTTTGACTTTCATGTTTATCAAGGCATGAGTTTAACCATTAATGTATTTGATGGTCCATAAAAATCATATTAGGGGAAAATTTATCAATGTTTTCTTGAATGGATTCTTCAATATTTTAAAAAATAGTTTTGACATGGGTTTGTCACACATTGACATGAATTTTTAATAGCTCATGAAACAATTGATTTGGTATGAATTTTGTCATGGATTCACGGATCACCATTAAATTTGTGCCAAAATCCATTCTAATTTTTTTGGCATGAAAAATCTTTGGTAGTCAATGAAATTAAATTTTTTGCAAAATCTATTGTTGTTGTTGTTGTGTGATCAAAGTTGATTATGTGAATGGTGTTAAAATCAAACACTTGAAACTAAAATAGAACTAAAGTGGTATAGGCATTAGTTTAAAACTAAACATCAATCACTTCGTTCCTTTTCCTCCAACATTCTTACGTAGATAAATATTCAATCTCCTCTAAAGATGATAGGAGCTCTCCAATATGCATTTTCTTGTGCTTGGGATGACTCTTAAGAAAGTAGTGGTTATTCGTGAAGTAAATAAGAATAATACATTAAATTATTATAATCCTTTTAACATCTTGGGGGCTTGTTTTTTTTATCTTAAAAGATGTGAATACTATTTCAGAACGTAAACATGGGGAGGCTGTTCTTGATTGGCCTACAAGAAAACGTGTGGCATTAGGAACTGCACATGGACTTGAGTATTTACATGAACATTGTAATCCAAAAATTATTCATCGTGACATAAAAACTGCAAATATATTATTGGATGAGGATATGGAAGCTGTTGTGGGTGATTTTGGCTTGACAAAGTGGGTAGATGTAAGGATGACTAATGTGACTACCCAGGTATGGGGTACAATAGGACACATAGCTCCTGAGTACTTGTCTACTGGAAAGGCATCAGAGAAGACTGATGTTTTTGGCTACGGAATCATGCTTCTTGAGCTTGTAACAGGTCACCATGTGTTAGACCTATCTTTCCTTCAAGATGATGACGAGAACATGTTATTGTTTGATCATGTAAGTTCAAAATGTCATTTATTAGTTGAATGATTTAATACTCGACGTTACTTATATAGATAGATCTAGAAATAGAACCACATCTTAGTTTATCACATACCCTCCTCAAATTAAACAATATTCTTTATTTCATAAATGATATAATAATAGACCATGTGTATATCTTGATGTATTGAGTGAGACTAATGCAATGCATATGTATAGCTTGACGTACTAAGTGATACTAGTGCAATTTTATTTCATATCAAAGTTCTAGTAGAATGATATGATACTTCATGAGTTATATAAGGGTATGAATTTGGAGAGGGTGAAGCGGAGTGAGAGTATATGTGTGGAGGATTGGTCTCATTTTTTGTCTACCTTTTTCCCTATTTTTTTTTTCTTAACTCTAAAATCATATCTTGATTCATTTTATTAGCTGACCCCAAACTCTTTAAAGAATAAGACATAGATGTTGTTGTTGTTGATCAAAGATCACATAGGTGTTGCTAACATACATTGAAAAATCATCTTCAATTTGAAGGTAAAGAAACTCCAAAGTGAGAAGAAGTTACATGTTATTGTAGATGGCAACCTAAATAAGGACTACAACCTGGATGAAGTAGAAATGATGATTTGTGTCGCATTGTTGTGCACGCAAGAATCACCTGAAGAACGTCCTCCAATGTCAGTCATAGTGAGGATGTTAGAAGGGGAGGGATTTTCTAAAAGGTGGGAAAAGTGGCAACATGTTGATGCCAGCCGTCTAAATGAATTTGAGCGGCTGCAGAGACAATTTAAGTGGAGTGAAGATTCAACCTACAAGCAGAAGGCTATTGAGGTGTCAGGTGGAAGATGACATTGTTGGTTTTGTGTCTATTCTTTGTCTAGTAATATATCAGATATCAATGGATATAAATGGTGTGCTATTATGTATTTAACTATATATGGTTTTTCCTATTCGATTTTTCATAGTAATAAGGTTCTTAACTATACAACATGCATGTACACACACACACACATATGGATGAATATTCAAGTGTGTGGAAGTGCTGACAAATCGTTAGGTTAAACTAAAATGTGTGAATTATTTATCATTGTAATCAAGCCACCTGTAAAAACATATAAATAAAGGCGTGTTGAATTTTGTAAATGTATCACTGCAAGAAGAAAACGAACAAGAGAATATTCAATGGATAATATATAAATATGTATATATAATTCATATTTTCTTTACATACATAATTATTACTATATCATAATCCTCTCAATTTAATAGTTTTTACTTTTTACTAGTTTTTAGTTTGTATATTAATAGCGCTACTTTTTGGGGTATTAGGAAGAGATTTCATTTTACATTGCATTTTTATGAGAAAAACTAGCTTGGATAATAGGGTCAAAATATTATTATATTTTAAACATTATTTGGATGCACCCATTGTTTTCAAAAGGGGATATAGAATCCAATTTCATCTAGAAATAGTATTCAAATTAACCTCTCCCTCCCCCATACAACTTTTTAATATCATAAGTTACAAACTAAATGATATGTGAAAGAACGAGTAGACAAAAGTTTGTTATCAGTTACAACTAATTCATTAAAAGTCTAGGGTAATGTTCCATAACCTGTAATAGAATTGTCATGCGTATAGATAGCCACAAAAAAAGTAAAGACACAAATATTTAACGAATAAAAATCCCTTAGCTCAAGAGCTAGAGATTAAAAAACTTTGACTTGCCTCTGAGGAATTAAAGACCTTTCACTAAAGCCTTTAAAAAGAGTTATAGAATAAACTCTTCTAGTACCTTTGAGCCACCCCAGCTCTAACATATGTAGATAGAATTACGCTACCTTATCTTGTGGAAAGGAGCCTTTCAACTTCATCTCAAAGTTCTTACTCCACACTACAACCATTGGACAAAACATACTCTAATGTTTCTCGAAACCCAATTACAAAGGTATACATGACAATGCAAAACCGAGACTAGAATACAAGCTAAGAAGAAGAAGCTGCAGGACCGTTCGTCACTAAAGTATCTTGAAAATGTTTGGAGCTCTCTTTTATTTCTTAAATTTCTTGTGAACTTTCAAATTCTTCTCTTGGTCGAGCACCTTCTTTTATAGTAGAGTCTTGAGGGAAGGGAGATGCTCGGTAATATGGTGTATACCTTAATTTTCTTTTAAAAGATCTTTCATTAAAAAAATTCATGTAAGGAAACGATCCATTACTTAATTAAGATTCACGATTCTCCTTTAACCGAAAATACTTTTCATCAAGATTGGAGAGACTTTATTTTTTAAGGAAAGATTCTATCTTAAAAAAATTCTTACAATGGTGCACATTTCTTAAATGAACTTTCAATGAAATAATTTTATTTATTTATCTGAAAAAGATTATGAATTAATGTTATATGATAATTTTTTTTTTGAATAATGTTATATGATAAATTGATCCTTTATTTTGGAAAGATATATGTGCATGGATGATTTTGAAATTTTTTATTTTATATCAATCATACATATTGCACATAAGTTTTTCTCATATAATTTTTATATAAAGAAATCCCTTTATGAACGTGAGTTTTCTTTTGAAGCCCACACTTTTATTCTGAAGATGCTACCTCATTGTATGAAAAGGATTTGGAAGACGTTTCCTTTTTATTATAGAGATATATTATTTATTCAATTTAATAAAACTTTTATTATTAAGGAAACTTGTCTTGCTAGAGGAGATACACGATCAGCCATTTTAAAATATGAAAATTCCTTTTACTTTGAAAACTTAGCTTGTGGGAAAGATCTCCGATTTATTCTCTCGTTAGTTTAACTACTTTCCTTACAAATAATTACTTCTTTGTATGATTTATTATTATTTACTTATGGGAAAAATCCTTTTCATTTTAGCATAACTCAAAACCAAATTCGACTGGAAAGGAAAGATAATTTTAAGGAAGCCGATTTAATCATTTTCTAATAAGTGGTTCCTAGTTCAATGACTGAGCCTAGACCACACAGGCTTGTTCTAGAGCAAAAGTTATGTATATACTTTTCTTGCATCAATCTATCTAAAAACTTATAAATGTGAATGAGGGTTACTGCCCTTTTAAGAATATAAAATTTGTTGGTGTAACACCTAAGCATAATGCAGTTGTACTTTACGTTTGAGTGATTGTCCTCATTGTTTTGATATCTATAAGGGTTACTGATCTCTGTTAAAACATAAAAAAAAACTCTTCATTGTCCATCTCTGTTAAAATAACATTCCATTGAATGATGAGATGGTTCAGAACAAGTGGGAGTATCTCGCTTTTGTGGTTAAATACACCACACCTCTTCATTGCCAAGCTCTCCTGACCCAAAAGACGCCAAGCCTGATTAATTTGTGGAAAGGTATTGGTGAGCTTAAACTGGAACTGCATCTTCCACTTGCAGATGAGAGCTATTGACTTCGAATTGGTTCTGAGCTGGTCGAGGATGTGTTAACGACTCTGCAGAGCACTTCACAGTCCATTTCTACCTGCAATTTCTGGTAACCCAAATGAGTACACATCCGGATTGCTTGAATTGTTGATTCCAAATCCTCCTCGAGGACAGAGTCTGCCTTTAGCGGGGTAGTAAGTTGGGCCTATGAAATTTCCATGGGTGTCTCCGAGGATCGCTCCACCCGCTGCTTCCCCCCGGAGTAGGATGTGTCGACATTAGGGCGATAAGAAATAGGTAATACTTTCTTCCACATTGATGCTCTAGCTTTGCTTTTCCATATTCCTCCCGGACTAAGTCTTTACGTCTTTACTGAAGCTCATATATTTGGCTTCCTTATTATTGAGATTGTACAACATGTTTTCAAATCCCCGGACCTTATTTTGGTGCAAGTCCTTTAGCACATGCAAGTTCTTTACCATGTGCCTACTTTAATGGAAAGAATTCTTTTAAGCATGCTAGGTGTTCGTTGATATGTCTAACTAAGAATTCGTGCTAGGTTTGAGTCCATACGTATGAAGTATGAACTTAACTTGAATTCGTGCTAGGTCTCCTAAGTAAACTTATCCTAGATTTTAATCAATTAAAAAAATAACTCTTTCCTAAAACATTGTACATATAGTATTAAAGGTTTTGTCCAAATTATTTATGAATGGTGGTGTAACACCCCGATTTTAGCGGTCTAGTTACATTAATCTTTTATTTTATTTAGTTAGCTGAATAAGTTTATTTTGTGAATAATGTGATTTATTGTTTGATCATGTGTTGTTTTGGCAGGTAACGTTGACCGGTAAGCTCTAATAATTTAAAGTGGAGAAATAAGTAATGTTTTAAAGCTTAATCAGTTTATTTTGAAATAGAAAATACTTTTAATGTCTGAGAAACATATTTTTAAGAGATGATTAGAAGCCCAATTCAGTTATCTAAGCCCAGATAAATATGTTTAAGACTGAAATCCCTAAGAAGTGGTCATACGTGATATTAATACCAAAGACCTACGGCCTGCGGTTATATCCTCCCATCAGCAGCCATCGCTTCTTTCCAGAAAAGTTTGCATCGCTTTCAATTCTACGATCAAGAGTTTTCTTAGTTCTGTTCGAATCTCATACCTGGTAAGACAAATCCCATTCTCTCTACTTATATGTGTCCTTCTAAGATTGTCAAAAAACATGAATTTATGTTAGAATTGATTAGTTCCTTTGGTCTGTTAAAAGTTTTCAAAGTCTAGAATGAGTAAATTGAATAGTCCTTGTTTCGTAGGTTATTTAATTCCACACTCATGCTTTAGTTTGGTTTCCCTTCATTCTCGGCAAAGTAGTGTTGTCTATTGCTAGTGGAGTATTTTTTTTTTTTTTTGATTTGATGATTCCTAAATGCTGAACAGCGGGTGGATTTTAGTTGATGTTTAGGTCTCATAATATCTTGTTGATTTTGGAGTTCAAATTCAGATCATGATCTCATTTATGAAATTTTCAATATTATGGTCTCCACTACTAGATTCTTTTTCTGCTGCGATAGGGAGCTCTGTTTAGTTCCAGCAAGAGTTAAATTTCAAAACCAGGAATTTCTCTTGCCTATTGATGTGTCCTGAAACTAAAAGGGGATAAATTCCAATTTTTGAATCTTCGATTACTTGATTTCAAGTGTCAATGTTTTTTTTTCCGGTAATGAACATCCACTAAGTAATCTCTCCGTATATTCCAAACATTGAGATAAAGTTCCAGCCGTATGATTTTGCTTTAAAATCTGCCAAATTCTTATTTTATATGATTATATTCAATTAAAGATTTAAGCTAAGGGAAGAGCTTACCGGGGAGACGTTATCAATGTGCCACACTTATCTGAGTATATTCTGAGTTCAGCTTTTCACAGGTAAGTTCACTACCACCTGTACATGTTTGTTCAACCAAATAAAAGAAAGAAGTCTTGTTGATTTTTAATAGCTGATTTTAGTCTATTTGCTATTATGTGAACTATGTGAATTATGTGATGAGTTATTTTATTTGTTGTATTAAGTGATGATTATTATCTGGCATAGTCAAGAGTTTGTCAGTATTTTTATTTTCTGATTTAATGATCTGGTTATCCAAACGACACTATAAAAAGAACTAATATTTAAAGTGAAAGATTAAGTGATATGTACCCGGGAACAAGTTCCCACAGAGTAATCAGAGTTTCAGAGTTTCAGAGAGTCTGATATGTTTAGTGGGTCGCTCCCCTGAGCTGTCGGATTGGCGCCTTTGGGTACATATCACGGGCCCACAGAGTAAAATTAGCCACAAAGAGTTTTACAGAAAGTTGTTTTTGAGATCTCTTTCAGAAAGTTTTACAGAAAGTTGTTTTTGAGATCTCTTTCAGAAAGTTTTACAGAAAGTTGTTTTTGAGATCTCTTTCAGAAAGTTTTACAGAAAGTTGTTTTTGAGATCTCTTTCAGAAAGTTTTACAGAAAGTGTTTTTGAGATCTCTTTCAGAAAGTTTTACAGAGATGTTTTGAGAAAGAAATCTTTTTGAGATCTCTCCAGCAGTTTTGAGAAATTATTTTCGAAAAGAGTTTTCTTTTGAGATCTCCCTCAAAATGTATTTGAGAAGTTATGTGTTAGTTATTTGTTAAGTGCATGCTTATAGCCTAAATTTATCTATTGATAAATTGACATAGACTTCTAGATATTTTT